AAATACAATTACTAAAAACTACATTTAAAGATGTCAGTCAAAACAGAAAAGCATTTCTTTCTTTTAATTAATGTGATTAAATGAATCATTTGCAACAAGATGACTAAAGTGCTTTAAGAAAGTCAATAGGGTCAGTGTTGATGTCATGTTGACTTTTCTGTGGTGACGGCCTGTTGAGTTGTCCTTTAATCAGCGAAAGTTGTGACCGTATTTAAGTTTCAATTAGTCATAGGAAGTCTGTAATAAAAAACTAAGATCTGACCCTTCTGCCGTACCCTAAATGATGTGCAATAAACCCACACTTTCGCGTGAGTCTCTGCAAACCACCATTTTCAGCTGAGGCAGTAAAATAATCAAGGATGTTGACAGACAATCTTGCTCAATCCGTTGACAAATGATAACCAGATTTGTAACTTATGACATGTTGGATGGGAAAGGCTTTCGTTTTACTCAACTGGGTGATACAGGAAAATAAGTAAAACTTGCAGGTTAAGTTCGTGTTTTTTTTTTTCCTTTCCCGTACCTCACTCACTGTTTTCACATACATTTACATCGTTTGAAAGTAAAACCAGTATAGTTTGTTCTGTCCTTTTTTCGTAAGTAAAAAAAAATGTATCCACTCTCATCTCTCTACTGATTCCAAAGAAAATCATTAATTTCATCTTGCGTTAAGTTTCCGTTCCTGAAAACCAATGAATTTCACACTTTGACACATATTCCTTTTGTTTGTGCGTACAGGAGCTCGCCCTGAGAAACCAGCTGCCGACCAGCATGGAGCAGGATGGCGGCACTCAAAACCCTGTGTCCTCACCCGGCATGGGACAAGACGCCCGTAACATGACCACCAACAGCTCTGACCCGTTCTTGAACAGGTAAGACGAATTAAACTGCAAAAGTGCAGGACTGCAAGTCATACAAGAAAAACTCACTTTTGCATTTGCACATGGTAGTAGTTACCAGTTGAAAGGCACATAAGGGCAATGAACCTTCCCACAAAGAGTGTGTGTGTGTGTGTGTGTGTGTGTGTGTGTGTGTGTGTGTGTGTGTGTGTGTGTGTGTGTGTGTTTTATAACTTGAATGACACACATTGGTGACCCCTGCTGAAGAAGCTGTTGAAAGCAAGTCAGGATTAAGCTGCTTTTGCAGAGAATTGTGCCCTCCAGTGGTGGTCAAGCACATAAATCTCTCCTCCTACATGAGGGCAGATGAGGGATTGATGTGAATAACAAGGCGGCCCTGAGAACATGTGGTCTCGGTCTTAGACAAGGCTGCCCCTCCCCCCCCCACCCCACCCTCCTCCCTCGTCCAAATAGCTCTATCATTCTGCCGCCG